GGCTGACAGATGTGGACACGGCCCACAGGCCACAGCTGTTCCGTTGTTGCTCCCCTTCTCTTGCAATAGCGTTGCCTCGAGAACCTACGGGCAGGAGTCACACCAAGCAGCAGCTTCCAGGAGCCAGCAGTGAAGAAGCTTCCACGGAGACCAGCAGCTGCTCGTACAGCAGCAGGCCAGACACACGGAGGAATTGACAAAACTGTGAGCAGCGTCTTCTGCAGCTGACCCCTCCCCAAAGACCCTTGTGCCACAGTCAGGACGTGGCAGGGACCTACACCTCTCCACACATTGCTTTCCTACCAATAAGGAGCCTGGGTCTCTGAGCGCCGCCAGGTCTGCAGGTGAGAAAGGACCAGGGTGGCAGCCCGAGAGGTGCCAAGGTGCTCCCAGGCCCCGCTGGCACGCCTCACAGCATGGGGGGAAGGGCGGATCATGCCCACGTGGCAGATCTTGTAGTTCCTCCCGTGGTTGTTGTCCCAGTGGGTCTTCTGTCCGCACTGGAAGGAGATGCAGAACTCCGTGGCCCTGCGGGAAACAGACGGCTTGGGCAGAACAAGTTCAAAAGAGAAGGTGTCTGTGTCGGATGAGCCGTACGTGCTATGCATGTACTGGCAAGAGATGTCCCGGAAGCTCTTCCAGCCATCAAAGGTGATGCGGACCATCACTTTCTTCTCATACTCGATGTTTCTGACCTTCACTGTCCCTGACAGGGCACGGTCCTGGATCAGGCAGTTCTCCAGGCAGACATGGTTGCTGTGTAGGCGGTTGCGGAAAGTCATGTAGTCCGCAGAGGGCTGTGGGAAGTCCAGCACATACCTGCACACTTCTGGGCGTGAGTCCCGCAGCCTAGGTCGGAAGCAGGCAAGGTCAGACAGGGCGTGCTGCAAGTCACAGAGGTCCTCCTCAATCTTTGAGAAGAAGCGGACAGCCGTCAGCGAGAGCCCCTTCATGTCAGCAAAGACGACTCTCTTCTTCTTCTGGCCCTTGGAGCTCTTGGTGCTATCTCGCCGCTCGGGCTCGGGTTCTGCGCTCAGCTTCTGGTTGAGACAGGACCGGAGGGGTTTGCGTCCCCGGTTGCCCCGCAGCTCCTCATAGGAGTTCAGCAGCTTGCGGATGGGGGGCGAGTGGCTCAGGCAGAGCCGCATGGCCAGGTCCACGGGCATGGCTGGGGGGGCGATGGCCCTCGCGCTATACACCTGGAAAAGCCTAGAGG